GCTGTCAAAACCACATCTTTGGATTACCATCTCATAAAATGACCTTTCTCTGAACTCATCTCCAGGGAGAGCATGACAGTGTGGTTTTGTTTGAACGGCTGTGCCAGCAGCAATCTGGCCTTGGAGAGCATGTGCCCATGTTGCTGCAGGATGGCAGGCTCTGGGGAGACCAAACCTACCCTGCCTCTCAAAGGGTGTGGGTTGATTTGGGGCAGATTCCTTCACTTTAGCTAAGGCAATTTCTTCATCTGTAGAATGGGCACAATAATATCTCACCTGAATGGGACCGTTGCATGATACAAGTTTAGTACAAGGACACAGCCAGCACTCAATAGCTTTTATTCATATTTTTACTGCCCGAAGTCCTACAGTTACTAAGACGCAGGGAAAGGGCTTGCTCTTATGCTCTTGTGTTCTGCTATTATTTTTAGCATTTTTTTTACATTGTAATATAAAACAACATACATAAAAGTGCATAAATCCATGCAGTTTAACAAGTATTTGTAAAACCAATACTTGTGTTACCACTGCCAAGGTCAAGAAAAGGATACTAACATCCTAGGAGCATCTTGTAGGCCCCCTCCCTCCCCTGCCAGGACCCCTTCCCGCCAGCAGTAGCCTCTCTTTCCCACAGCTCCCAAGCACAGCTGCTGTGGCTCTTTGAGAAAAGCTCCTCAGGCGGTGAGCCGCCCTCCCTGCAGCACAACATCCTGAGCTTTGGAGGATTCCTGAGGACTTAGAGGTGAGCCTACCTGCCCTCCCATCCCCACGTCCCACACAGGTGGCGGATGAGTCAGCCCCCTACGGGCAGCAGCTCCTATTCAGGACAAAGGGACAGCTGCCTGCACAGAGTGATGAGCTCACCTAGAAGTCACAGTCCAATTCTTTTGCATTTCTACGTCTTCTGCCCATCTTTCCTAATCAGAGACCAAGTTCTGTTGGTTCTTTTTTCTCCTAACATCTCCAGGCTCTTTCCCGCGGCCCTAGCACCATACTTGCAGAGAGGCAATGGTAACTTGTTTCTTCACAGACTGCCTAAGTTTTAGACATTATGTCCAGTAAGGATTTTATTTTCTATCAAATCTTAATGCTGTTGTTTGCTCGTGGCCCTCAGTGTACTAATTCCTGACTTTGGTTTAATCTTGTTTTCGACTTTGTTCTCAAGAACAAAGTTATCTCAGGATAAGCTTGTCCATTTTGCAAAGCTTCCCCTTCATTCTCCAGTGCAGCATTCATGGAGCGCCTCTGCCAACATGGGGGCAGCAAGAGGCACAGGCCCAGTCCCCACCTTTGGAAGTAGGGTTTTGTGCGTGCGACAGGGGAGTGGGTGACCTATCAAGGTCACCCCAGCCCCTGGCCAGCGCACAGCCCCCAGCAATGACTCAACTACAGGACTTTCTGGGCTATTGGAGACCAGCATGCGGGGTGACAACCTGTGGCTGGGTAGTAACCTCGGTTATACAAATCTTGATTTGGGGAATTTTTGAAGATGTAATCCTGAGAACTCAGCATCACAAATCCCTCATTCATGACCCCAACTGGCAGTATTTCTGTAAAAGCACTGTGCTACAGAGAACGCCAGCTTTCTGGGCACAACCATGCAACCTCTGTGGGGTCAGCCCCTGGAAGAGATGCCACCATTACACAAAGCACTAGGAGGCTTCAGGAAAGCCCACTCTTTGGAGAGCCTGGTCACCCAGGGAGTCTGAGAGTCAGCATTTGAACATTTGCTCCTCTACATCCTGGGCACACCTGATAATCACTCATGTAGGTCGCAATAAATAAGGGCCTTTTCACGGAACAAGGCCTCGCAGAACAGCAAATGCTTAGTGAAAGCTTACTGAATTAAAGTTGAGTTACATAAGGCTACACTTTCTTGGCATTAAAACTGAATATTGAAGAATTTTTTAAGCTATTTTGGCAATAACCAATAATGAGCAAAAATTTTGAATTCTTACTGTGTATGACCCTGAATATTAATAGTTGAAAGCAAAAGCTTAGCAGTAGAGAGAGGTAATGTGTCCAGATGCAAAACTATTTTCCTATGAAATGACAAAAAGTACTAAGATACTTTTTCTAAAACAATCTATGGGAACTGTGAAATCTATTAAAAATTAGTCAGGTAAATTGTATTTCATTTTCCCCTAGATTAATCTTCCTGTTAATTTAGCAAATGAAAAAATTAAATTATCTTTCTGGCAAAATAAATATCTTAATGTTACTGTATAATCTTTTATAGTTTAGACCACACCAAATCAAACACAGACATATGGAGCAATCACATCTAATCTCATTAGTGTATAATTAAAAGGCATCAAGAGAGATGGCTAGAACACTCCACATACTAGAGCTACTTTTAACTAGAAACAACTTAGTTCATAGTATTTCAAACCGTCAAACTGACTTGGTGGAGTAGGGATGGTAATCAACACAAAAATATGACAGCATTTAGAACTGCAAGTAACATGTTGGCCTATAAAATCACTACAGAATTTGTAGTGTGTAATAGTTAAGAGTTAGACAATCTTCATATCACCCAATGCAGTCATTGTTACATATGTTTGTGCAAACATGTGCATATGAAGTCAAGTCTAAACGAGTCATAGGGTAAGAGCAGGAGTGAGAGGGAATAAAATGCTGAACACCTGGAAACGAGGGCATGGGATGAAGGGATTTCTGACACAGCTGGAAAGTAGAGATGTGTGGTGATAGTAGGGGTGAGAGGTAGGGAAGACAGAAAACTGAAGAGATAAGCCAGGGCGGTCCAGCAGGGTCTGAAAGCCAAGACAAGGAATTTGGACTTCATCCTGAGAGCAATGGAGGACCTCTGTGACTTCATCCTAAGAGTAACGGGACACCTTTGGGGGATTTGAAGTAGCGAAGTGACGTGATGATCTGCATTTGACAGAGATACTTTGGCCTGCATTGCAGAGAAGAGATCAGAGGGCAAGGGACAGGGGATTTGGAAGAGCAGTTAGGAGAGAACTACAGGTAAAAATGATAATATGTATACTATCCTTCAATGTCCACATTTCTGAAGTTACACACTAATAAGATGAAAAAATCAGATGGAAATTGTAAGTTGAAAGTCTTCTTGATCATTTAAATTTCATCCAGTGGAACCTCACTGCAGGATTAAAAACCCTTTGTCTTAGACAATTTCTGCAATGCTGCCCAGTATCTGTACAGGACAGAACAGATTTAGGATGTGATTATCATGTGCATGACTACCTCTCAAGGCATTTTTGAATCAAATGGGTTTTAATTACATTAAGGATAAAAGAACTGATGTCTTTTGATATTTCTAAGAAATAAGTAACAGCTCAAGAACCAGGAATCTTCACAATCCCCAGATCTTGATGGGTGGTTGAATGTATGGCTTATTTTGGCTTTGGAAAAATTTGTATTTTTCAGTAGAATGAACTTATCCTAACTAGGCAGTTCTTTTTTTTTTTTTCCTATCTTGAAAGATTGAAGAACACCAGGAAAGAATAAGAGTAAAGGTCACCCCAGCACAGTCTTATTGATTTTGTAGAATTTTTTAGCTTGGGATTGAAGGTTTTCTTTAGTTAAGAAAAGTACAGTATTCATTTCAAGTTTATTTTTCTTTCAAACTTAAGGGCATACAGTATGTACACTATTACCTATGTTATGTAAATATTTATAAAAATATGCTCTAGCAATAGCTGGTAAGGATGATTTAAAATGCTATCACTAGCTTTCCTTAATACTTTAAAAATCATTCTGCTTTCAATTTTTCGATTACCTATAATAAATCTTTCTCATCTCTTATTCCTGAGGGAAATCACTGGAAAGGAAACTCAGCTGGATTTCTTTTGAGAAGGCAGATAAACTAAGACTTCTAAGACATAATTTGTCACTTAAAAGACATCCAGAAAAATAAAAGCTATACTGAGGATCTACTTTGTCAACTTTCTCAAAAACTCCATTTTAAACTCTGAATAATACTGTCTACCTACTTAATATAAGATTAACTAGATGGAGTCTAACTAGATAGATTCACTGTTGGCATAGCTTCAGGCAACTCATTGCTTTTTTCCTTTTGTGATGTCTTGGCCTAACCTCAATGTGCAAGACTCATGCGTCCTGAAAGCCATGTCCAGAAGATTTCTGCTCTCCTTCATTAATGTCTGGAAGAGGCCTCAGTTACATCCTGCCTATGAGTTGCACATGCAACAGCGCCAACAGTGCTGATCCACCAACTTGAACACTGAAGGCAGTGAGGATCTACATGGATGGAAGAAAAGTGCCTGGTCGAGAGAAATGTGGCAGGTTTAGAAAGAAAACTTAAGGTTGGAACATCTTCAAAGAGGTTGATTGTATGCTTTCTTTTCCTGTATTTTAATCCAGCGGTTATTGAACAGCTGCATGTGTACTGTGTAAGGCAACAAGAGAATATAAACGAAGTGTGAGAACCATCTCTATTGCCCTAAAAGTTTTAACGGTTGGGAAGACAAGACACAGACAAAAGGTAAACAATAAGGCTGTGTGCAGAAATGAGAATTTGTGAAGCAGACTTCCGGAGTATGGAGTGGGGAGGACAGGCACCTTTCAAAGAGGAAAGAGGTAGCGGGGTAGCAAGACAACGGTGAAGAAATCACGGTAGAGGCGTGTTTTAGAGGCAGAGGACAGGGAAGCAACAGCACCGTTAGCAGAAATAGAGGTATGAGAGTGTTCAGCATGTTCAAGGCTCTCCGAAGAAGCCAGAGTGCTGCAGTGATAGCAAGTGGCAGGAGACGACACTGGAAAAGAAAGGCTTGGACCGGGTTGTGAAGAACTGTGAATTTCCTGCCAAGGAGCTTGATTTAACGTACTGGTAATGGGGCATCATCTAAGGTTTTAAGCGGGAGAGTGCGATTCACCTCATCACATATACATTTTTTAATTAAAAATGATTTTTGAGTTAAAAATGAAATTAAAAGAAAAAATGATGACAAAATGAGGCTGCTCTTACATTGGACGTCAATGTCTTTTTACAGCTCGGAAGCTTTCTATTCAATGCTGTTCAACATGCTGGTCTAAGAAAAGGGAAGGAGACGTGCCCTGTGTTGGGTAAGTCAAGGAATCTCAGGATTCTTTCCGTGGTCCTGAGATTCCTAGGAGCAAGCAGTTTACTGAGCTCCAGAAATCAGGGGGCTGAGGAAAATGTCAACATCAAGAGTTTTCACAGGCCACACAGATGTGGCAGGTGCCATAAGACAGCAGCCTGAGCATCTCAGCACCTCCTGCTGGTCACTCCTGCCCCTGCCTCTGGACCTCCAAGACCCCAGAGTTCCCAGGGATTACCCTCTCTGGCTTTTCCCCCATCCTCCCTGAAATCTGGATAAAGAACCAAGGTTAGAAAGTCAGTGACCTGCTCAAATTCACTCCATCAGGCAGAATAAGAACCAGAAGCTGAGTGCTTTCCTTAACATCATAGGGCCTTTGCCAAAGATGTCAACCTTCCATCCCGGGTACAGTTCCAGAAACCTGAATTTCCAAACTCCGGACCTGTCTATATGAACCTATGATGTCTGTTTTTCCCTCTTAACTTCAACTGACTTTCGGAGTTCACATCTTGACTACACTTTCCAGCTCCTTCTTCCTGTGAAGCCAGACTTCTGTTATCTGGGTCCCCTCTGAAGGTACAAGGAGGGGAAGAGTCTTGACCAGGTAGGTAACCAGGTTACCTAGAGGTTAGGTTATCAGGGTACTGCGTGGCAAGTTAAGAAACAACGAAGCAAAATGCCCAGAGGTGGGCAGTTAAGTCTGAGTACGTGCTCTGGGGAGGTTTGCGTTAATTATAGGCACAAAATTGGCAAAATCCGTTTACCATCAGCTACTATGGCAAGGGGGTGGGATGAGAGGCTAGACAGGCTCACAGCCTTTGGCTGCATAAGGAATGGATTGGTGTCCATGCTTTGGACTAGGGGGGAACACTTCAGCTCCAATTTTAAGCAGGAACTAGAATTTATGCTGAAATTTTTAAACTGGATCCCCATTTTTTGCCCAGTAGGGATCCTTCTGAGCTGGTATTCAGCTGCTGAACTGGATTTTAATCACTGTAGCATGTAGGAAGAAGCTGGGTCCCAAAGAGAATGCAATTTCAAAGAGAGCACAGAAACAGGCAGCGCAGACTTGGGCGGGAGAGAGAGGGCAGCCCACTGTGGCCACAGCAAACCTCAGAACCTAGTGAAGGAGTACAGAGGCTGCTGGGAAATAAACGGGAAGCACACCAGACACAGAGGCGGTTGCAGCTGCCTAAGCCAAGCCCAGGTCTCAGAAATCAGGGCACAAAGCAAGAAGGGGGCAGCCGGTGAAGATGTGATCTATGGGACAAGGACAGAGGAGACACGAGGAAGAGGACACAGCCTGGGCACCCTGGCTAAGGGTTATCATCCATCCCTTAGGGGAAAGAGCTCCAGGTTCATACCAGCACCCATTACAAATCTTTCAGCTTAAAGCCTGCTTCATTTGCCACCGAGGGCATCTGCTCCTCACTCACAGAGACCCTGCCATTCTCCCTGCTCTGCCCTCCCACTTCTTTTCCCAGCAAAAATCCTATTTTTCCCCTCTTCGTGATCCTTCTTCCAAAGTGTTCCACAGGATTTTAAAGTGTTTTCATTATCTGATTATCCCTACTTCTAGGAAGATAAGTTCACTTTTCTTCCAAAAGTACCTAGAAGGCAGCATGGTGACTTAACATCAGAAAAGCCCACGTGCTTTATAGTCCTTCTGCCCCCACCCACCCTTCCACCCTCTGGTCTCATCTCACACGGGCCACTCCCACACTGCTGCCCACCTCCTCTGGGTTGCCACTCCATTCATACTGGAGCAAGGGACAGTTTCTTCCTCTAGACCACAGCCCTCCCCCTTTCTAGAGCACGTTCCTTCCCTGGGGAAGGGGACAGGATGGGCGTAGGCAGGTAGAGACGCTGGCTCAGGGATGCACAGGGCATTGTACATTCTGGCAGACGTGCCTTGCCCTGCTCCGTCTTTATTCACAGGGATTTTTCTCTCAGGACTCCTATATTTTTTCCTTCCAATCTGATTTCCTTGGGACACTCAGCCCAACAGAAGTATCTGAATATATATTGGTTTCAAACATCCCTACAGAGCTCCTGCTCCATCAAGTGCATTGAGAGATACAGTTGCACCTTGCTCTCTGTGGCAGTTAACAACTTCCCCAATGTTCTCTGGCAGTTAAGAGGTGAGTCTTCCTTGTACTCTGCAGCTGAGTCAGAGGTCATGAGTTCTAAGGTTCCTCAGCTCTGGTCTTGGATGAAAATGCCCTTTTACATGCATACAACAAACTATGTATAATTTTCATTTCTAAGTATGTGTTCAGTCATTCAGTATATCATTTTGCTATCTTCACATAAAATCCCAAGTTAAAGAATTCTAGGTATTTGTCTCTGCCCACACTTGGATTGGGTAGACCTCAAGACAAGGTTCCCAGAGTTCACAAGCCCAAAGGGGCAGCACTCTTGTGCTACCAAGGCCCATTTCTGCAGGGGGTGAGACGCCGACACAGGCTGGTGGGAGAGGTCATGGAGAGGCTGGGCAGGGAAGGGGAACCTAGGGAAGGACCATGCAGGAGTCAAAATTCTCATGTACCTGGGTACACGCAAGAAGAGGATGTGATTACATTTTATGAGGGACACTGATCTGTAGTTTTCTTTTGGCATCATTTTTGTTTAGTTTTGGTATGAAGTTAATACCAGCATCATAAAATAAGTTGGAGAGTATTCCCTTATCTTCTATTTTCTGGAAAAATGTGCAGAATTGGTGTTAATTCTTCAAGTATTTGGCTTCTCCCATGAAATCATCAGGGACTGGAGAAATTGTTTCTTTTTTCAGTTTTTAATATTATGAATTAAATTTCTTTACTAGTTATAAGGCTATTCAAATTATCCATTTCATACTGGGTGAGACTTGATAGCTTGAGCTTTTTTGTATGTATGTATGTATGTCTAATATATACATTTTATTAGATTCAGGTACACAACATAATGATTTGATATTTGTATATACTTGTATATATTGTGGAATCACCATAAGTCTAACTAGTTAACATCTGTCACTATACCAAGCTGCATATTTTTTTTTCTGCACTGCATAGTTTTATCTTTTTGCAGCATGGAATTCAAGATTTTAAGGCTTCTGGTGTTAGTTTGTCAGGATTAGAATCCTTGTTCCACCAAGTATTAGCAAGATAACCTCTCAAAACCTTGGGGTTTTTTTGTCTAGAGACAGTATCTTCCTCATTGGATTGTGTAAATGTAATGGATGATATTTGTAAAGTGCTTTAAAAAATAATGCCAAACCCACCAGGAGGCTGGTCAATAGTTAGGAATGTAAAAAGTGGTGGCTGCCCATTCTTGGCTCGGACAATAGGGTTTATATTCTGACAGGAGAGGAATAAGCCCCGAGGCCAGGGCCCAGGCTACCTGCTGGGTCAGTCTGGGGAAGAGATGAGGAAAGGGAAGAGAGTTCCAGCAGCTGGATGGAGATGCCAGTTTCTGGGGCAACTGTCCACAGAAATCTTGCTAGAGAGATTGAGTCACAAATTAAGGGTAGGGTGGGATAAAGCTCGAGAACTAGGTGAACGGGACACTACCCATCACTAAACTGAGATAGCCCATAAGATAAAGAGAGATGAGTGGGTGGGGAAAGAAAACCAGTATGAGGCAGTGGAGGTGCAATGAGATGTGGATATGGATAAGAACTCATCACAATTCACCTCATGAGCCCCAGCTTAGTGGAGGAGGAATTTCCTTCCTCTCGTGTGGGATTTGGTATTGTTGCTACTAGACTGGAGGCAGGTGGTTAAAACGAAGGACCTAGTTGGATGCCAGCAGCTACCTGTCAAGATATTAGGGGGCAGCCTTAGTTTAAAATCTACCCTCTCTTCTGCCGAGTAGCTTGGCGATGCTTTGTAGATTGTGTCTGCCAAATTTTGTTATTGAAAACAAAAATGTTTTTAATATACACTTGAGATGATGAGCAAAATTAAGGTGAAGAGATTTCACATCTCCTTCTAGCTAGTCAGGAAGGGTTTCAGGGAGAAAAGAATTTAGTAAAGAAAAGGGAGACAGAATTGGTTTGTGAAAAAGAGAACTCTGTTCCAGGTGTAATGAAAGGTCTCAGAGAGGACTGTGGACAAGAACTGAAGGAAGGGATACAGATATAGCCAGAGGGTAATAAGTAGCCCAAAGTTTGTAAAACTGGGATTAGCCAAGGAAATACAGGAAGGGGCTGGCAAGCCAAAGGGGACATTAAGGACTGAAATATTAGGGCTGGATCTTTGAGGTGAAAGTAGAGGCGATTCTGGGCTAGTACATGTGAGATGCTTAATAATCAGTGCTTTTCTTAATCACATGAACAAACGGAGGCAGAAAGGTTGGCTTCCCAAGAGGGGCCCCCAGGAATCTGGTTGAGACATGAGCCTCGGGGTGCAGCCCAGGAGTCTCTCTGACTTGTCTGGGAGGGACGGAGCTCACCGTTCAGAGACATGTGCTCTACAGAATGTGGATTTGTAGAAGGCCAAAAAGAAAGCCTCTCCTTTATATTTTCCCTTAACTTTGCACTCTACAATATTTGAAGCATACAAACCAGTATACATGAGTTATGAAGAAAAATGCACAAATGAATGATGGTACAGTGGTAACGAGAAAATGACCAATACACCATTTAAGTTGTTTGGGCTCTTCCAGATTCCATTCCATTCACGCCTCTGGGCTGGGGCACTGGCTCTGTTCCTCTCAACACGAGGTTTCCTTCGCTAAGTCAAAGCAGCTGTCTAGCTGTTTTGTGTCCCAGCCATTGGCACAGGAGAAAGAGAATCTGGAATCTTTTAAAAAAATGGCTTGGAAGCTGCATGAATCACTTCTCACATCCAGTTGCCAGAACTTAGTCATTTAGCCACGCCTATCTGCAGAGACTCAAGAATTTACTCTGTAACTGGGTGGCCATATGTTCAGCTAAAACTTGGGGATGTTCTACTAGTAAAGGAAGGATAGATGTGAACACTGGACGACAGTTCACAGCCACTGACATAGTTCAGCTTTACAACACAATGCCATATCGATTTTCAGAATGGGTAAATTGATTTACACCCTCCAGCAGGAGATAAAATTTCCATTAATACACATTCTCAATGATAGCTGTTGATTCAAATGTCTTACATTTTTATTTTTTTTTAAACTTAACAGGTGTAAAATATTTCATTATGATCTTAAGTTGCAATTCCCTGATTACTGATGTTGATTACTATTGAAGTCTGTTGATTATTGTTTTTTTCTTCAGTGAAATAAATTCCTGTTCAAATCTTTTGCCTATTCCTCCCCACCCCCACTCCCACTGGGTTATCTTTTTTATTCATTTGTTAGGTTTTTAGATTTTTGTATAAAATCCTGAATACTGACCATTTGTCAATTATATGTTGTAAATATCTTCTTGCTTCTATGGCTTCTCCTTTCATGTTATGATGCTTTTTGTTAATATATGTTCTTAATTTTAACATCATAATTTTGGATATTTTATAGTTAAAGATTTATTGTCTTGTTTAAGATGAATCTCCCTACTTGAAGGCTGTAAAAATGCTCTTTCATTCCCTTCTAAAAGTTTTAAAGTTCTACTTTACATAGTTAAAGCTTTTAAAATACTTAGAATCAATTTTATGTAAGGCATGAGACGGGGATACGGTTTGGCCTGTCTTTCCTGCAGGTGTGTAACACTCTATCACTTAAGTTTCTACGTAGGTGTGAGTTTTTTTATGGGCTCTCTTTAGTTCCACTGACAATATGTCTATTCTTACATCTAGCTAAACAATGTTTTAATTACCACAGACATAGTAACATCTGAGATCTGGTAAGTCAAGTCCTCCCATCATCTTCTGATCTACTATTTTTGTCCTTTTCTTTTCTACATATATTTTGGAGCAAATTATCAAATTTCTCTAACGAAGTGCCATTTAGCATTTTGGCAAGCATTGCAAATAATGTATACGTAAATGGGTGAAAACTGTTACCTTTACAATGTCTACAAGTTTACAACTCTTACAACAGTACTGATATCTTCACAACATTGAATCTGTCTTTCCATTAAGTATGGTATATCTTTTCATTTATTTAAATAATCTTTAATGTTTTTTAATAACATTTAAAAGTACTCTCTGAGAAGGTCTTGCACATCGTCTGTAAAATTTATTCACAGGTACTCCTTGTTTTGTTTTTGTTATTGTTATTAGTTTGGTTTTTCTTTTAAAACTACAATTTCTAACTTGTGTTATAGAAATTGTGTATAGAAATGAAACTGACTTTTGAATATTAACCTTACATTTAAACTTGGTTACCTCTATAATTTATTATTATAATTATATTGATAATTATATAGATTGTTTTGGGTTTTCTATGTACACAGCCTGATGTGAATAATGACAGTTTTATTTTCTCCTTTCTAATCCTTCTATTCTTTATTTCTTTTTCTTGATTTACTGCTCTGTCCAGGACCGCTGGAACCATTTGGAATGGACGTGGCAGAAAGGCACCATTCTCTTGTTCTTGATTTTAAAGGGAATGCTTCTAATGTTTCACCATTACGATGTTAGGTGTAGGTTCTGAGTAGGTCATCTTACTCATATTAACAGATTTCCCTTCTGTTTCTTACCATGACTTTGCCAAGTGTTTCTTCTTCCTTTTAATAATGAATAAGTGTGGAATTTTATCAAATGTTCTTTGTGTCCCTATTGAAGTGTCTGTACTTTTTTCTCCCATGTTAATGTGATTAATTACATTCAGATATTTTCTAATGGTAATCACTCCTGCATCTCTAGAATAATCCCAATTTAGTCAGAATGTAGTTTCTGTTCTTTATGTTACTGGATCTAGTATGCTTTTACCATGTCTAGGATTTTTTTCATGTAGATAAATGAGAACGACTGTCCCATAATTTTCCTTTATCATATGCTCCTTGTCTGATTTTGGTGTCACAGTTGTGTGGGCCTCAGAGTCAAGCTGGGGAATGTCCTCCTATTTTTCTGTTCTCTAGAAAAGTTTATACCATATGAAATTGTTGTTCTTGTATATAATAATGAAAATTCTGGAATTCTGAGAAAAAAAGTTTTAGTCAACCCATGTGTACCATTAACATTAATAATTTTCTTCTACTAACATACTAAATATTATGTTCAATTTTTAAAAATTGAGTGGTTTTAGATAGCATAAGTTTTCTTAGCCCTCCAATTTACTACTTCTTTACTGAAAGAGGTTTTATTTTTCGGCGCTGCAAATGAGGAACATGATGGCAGCCCCCTGGGGAAAGTTTCAGTGAGCATGACATATGCAAATGACGGTGCTGGCGGCGGTTTCACCTGGGTGTAACGGGCCACAGTACAGTCACTGGAATCTTCTCTAGTTGCAGCGATGTACCTTTGCATACGTGTGTGCTTCAGCAACATCCAGACCCTGCCCAGACAGCTTTCGATTGTTGCATTTGTATTTTCTTTGTCACAGGCTTTGATCCTCTACAAAATGGGTCTGTTTTTGATCACCCATCAATTATTGTGCCTATTTGTTTAATTTTTTTTCACCTTCTCTATTGTAGCCAAGGGTTGATACACTGTGTCACTGGACATGCCTTAAGTTTGCAACAAATGTTTGAATTATTGTTTGGGGGTTAGTTTTTAATTCATTGATTTTTATTTAAAACAAAGTTGGATCTCTCTTGAGATTTAATTTTGAAAATAAGATTCCCAGATTGAAATTTTTGAACTATCTTTTGAACAATCCTTTAGTAACAAAACTTTTCCACAGACCAAATGATGCTTCTATCTGCTTCAGGTGTATGATGTTTCAGTTTAAATGATATAAAAAAGATCTGCATTTATTTCAAAGATATTGTTTACTTCTGTGGCAAAATGAGAACAATAAAAATAAACTCAAGAACCAAGCAAACTTTAAAAGCACTATACTGTTGTAAATTCTCAGTAGCAAAAATAGAATTGTATTTATATCAAATTTACAATTCACAGTCAATTTCAACTGACCACATGTTGACATTCCATGTTGTACACTCTAATATATGCCTGGAATAATCCATTTCTTTAAAGTGTGGTAGAACTTGCCCATAAAACCATATACATTACACATACATACATATACAATGAGTTCATGTAAAAACTGGTGAAAACTGAATAAGATCTATAATCTAGTTAATTGTATTGTGGCAGAGTCAATTTACTGGGTTTGATGCTGCACTAGTTATAAAAGGTGTCACCACTGGGGAAAGACGAGTGAAGGGTTCATAGAATTCTGTTCTCTTTTCTATTTCTTGTAAATTTAAAACTATTTCAAAGAATAAAGTTAACAAGAAAACACATGGGCCTGTTGTACTTTTATGTATTATTATTATTTTTATTACTACTACTATTATTATTATTATTTTCATCAAAGTATGCAGCATTTACTGCTGAGTCCAACTCACTGTTGCTCATGTTAATTAAGAACAGGGTCTTTAAAAGGCCTGCGTCAAAGAAGCAGTTTTCACATTTATTTTTCTTAAACTTTGCACTACAGAATTTGATCTCTGTGAGAATAACAATAATAGGTATTTTAAAAGAAAACCTTGTCTTGGATTGGAAGAATCAATATTGTTATAATGGCCATACTAACAATATACAGATTTAATGTAATCCCTATCAAATTACAGTAACATTTTTCACAGAGCTGGAACAAAAAATGTGAAAATTTGTGTGGAAACACAAAAGACTCCGAATAGCCACAGAGACTTGAAAAAGGAGAACAGAGCTGGGGGAATCATGCTCCCTGACTTTAGACTATACTACAAAGCTACAGCAATCAAAACAGTATGGTACTGGCACAAAAACAGACACATCAATGGAACAGGATAAAGTCCAGAAATAAACCACACACTTATGGTCAATTAATCTATAACAAAGGAGGCAAGAGTATACAATGGAGAAAAGACAGTCTCTTTAACAAGTGGTACTGGGAAAATTGGACAGCTCCCTGTAAAAGACTGAAATTAGAACATAGTCTCTAACACCATATACAAAAATAAACTCGAAATGGATTAAAGACCTAAATGCAAGACCAGATACTATAAAACTACAAGAAAGCATAGGCAGAACACTCTTTGATATAAATCACAGCAATATTCTTTTTGAACCAGCTCCTACAGTAATGGAAATAAAAGCAAAAATCAACAAATAGGATCTAATTAAACTTAAAAGCTTTTGCACAGCTAAGGATACCATCAGCAAAACGAAAAGATAACCTACAGAATGGGAAAAAATATTTGCAAATGATGCAACCAATAAGGGACTAATTTCCAAAATATATAAATAGCTCATACAGCTTAATATCAAAAAACAAGCAACCCAATCAAAAAATGGGCAGAAAACCTAAATAAACATCTTTCCAAAGAAGACATCTCAATGGTCAACAAGCACATGAAAAGATGCTCAACATCACTAATTGTCAGAGAAATGTAAATCAAAATTATAATGAGGTATCACCTTACACCAGTAAGAATGGCCATCATTAAAAAGCTCACAAACGATAAAAGCTGCCAAGGGTGTGAAGAAAAAGAAACCCTCCTACACTGTTGGTGGGAATGTAAATTGGCGCAGTCACTATGGAGGACAGTATGGAGATTCCTCAAAAAACTAAAACTAGACTTAACCATATGATACAGCAATTCCACTCCTGGGCATATATCTGGAGGAAAATATAATTTGAAAAGACACACATAGCCCAATGTGCACAGCAGCACTATTTACAATAGCCAAGACATGGAAACAAGCCAAATGTCCATTGACAGATGGCTGGATAAAGAAGATGTGGTATATATATACAGGAATACTATTCAGCCATAAAAAAGAATAATGCCATTTGCAGCAACATGGATAGATCTGGAGATTGTCATTCTAAGTGAAGTAAGCCAGAAAGAGAAAGAAAAATGCTAAATGATGTCGCTTATATGTGGAATCTAAAAAAAGGACACAAATGAACTTACCTACAAAACAGAAACAGACTCACTGACATAGAGAACAAACTTATGGTTACCAGGGAGTAAAGGGGGTGGGAAGGGATAAACTGGGAATTCAAAATTTGCCCCACTTGGGGAGTGATGGAAATGTTAGCTATCTTGACTGTGGTGGTAGTTTTATTGGTGTTTACATCTATCAAAAGTCATCAAACTGTACATCTGAAATTTGTGTAGTTTACAGGAACCATACCACAATGAAGGTGTTACAAATAAATAAATAAATAAATCCCAGGGATGTTACCTACAGTTGTCTGTCACCCATCTTAACTCTACATTAGTATAAATAATCTAGGTTTGATTATAATTAAAGACAGAATGATGGAAGATGTCATCTATACAAGGATGTCCACTGAACCTCACAAAGATGACAGTTTAATCCATCTACAAGAGGTAATAACTGAAGCATTACTGTAGCAAATCCTTTTACAAGCTTTGCATTCTTAGGTTTCTAATACTAATTTAAAATCACTTTGATTCATCTGGGACCATAACTTCACAGGTCCATTTCTAATTCCTGGAGTTTCAAAGACTATTCTGTGCTTTAACTTGAAGGTTTTCCCTCTGCTCCCAGGTGTAGAGGCATCTTTGTAATGGACTGGAGGAAACCTTTTTTGTCGTCTCTCCTGTCAGTGCTACACTATGTGCACCAAGCCCGCCATGTGGCCCTTTGCTTGTCATTTTAACGGTCGGCTGGGCAGCTGTTAATAAAGCAAGTCTATCCGGAAACACCATGATCAGAGACCACATTCAAGAGAGCCTCAAAAAGGAGCGACTAATGTGAGGCTTTTAGCTCTTACTGAATGTCACTCTTTTTAAAGTTGTAAGTGAAAGTCTCTGAAAAAAGTCACCTTGTGATAATGACACAGTTCCATCCACTTTTTTTTTTGAGATAAAGAGTCCAGTTTCATTTATGTAGTTTATTAAAAAAAAAAGACTAAGAGTTAGATATTTAAAGTCATTGGGCTACTTTTAATTTTAAAAGTCTACTTCCAATGCTCTAAAATTGAAATGGCATATTGACACAACATTGTAAACTGACTATACATCAATAAAAAAGCATTTAAAAAATAAAAAGAATTGTAGCCTTCTGCAAAAAAAAAAATTGAAATGGCATAAACACTTGTACACTGGCATACTGGTAATTTCTTTTTCTCCCTAGATTTTCATGGATGTCTCAGGTGCAACCATACACACGCACCTCAAATCTTTGCAGTGAAGAGACCCCCCAACAATGATGGGAGAAGACATCCAAGCACCAGTGAAGTATTTGATGCTGCGAGGTCTCTGAAACAGATAGAACGAGTGCTTTTCTGTGCCTTTGTACAGTGTGAAAGTAGTAAGAGAAAGAGTAAACGATTTGGGGACAGTATTCTGGGATAATCATGTCCATCTGGTCTCGAGCCTTTTCTGTACATGGCAGGGGCCCACTCAACCTTTGTTTCTTCAAGCTTCTATCAAGCTTTTGAGGATTTTTCTTTTTCTTCACGCATAGACCATCTCCTTAGATTCCCAGGAAGCAGGCCATTTGGTGGAAGAAAACTGAACAACCACTTCTAAAGGAATTCAAATAAATTATTTTTTTAGTGTTATCATTGAGTTCATTAAAAATGGACTTCGTCTAAGTTAACATTAGGAAAAAGAATTCTAGTGGTTTTCAAATATTCTTTACCTTTTAAGATATAAATACATATCTTATTTCCAGTGATTCATCCTTAAGAAATCAGTGACACTTTACAGATATATAAACCAATGCTCACAGAAGACCAGGATCTTGACTTTACACTGCCAAAGCAATGGCTCCCAGGCTTCACTGCCACTCTGGATTTGACCTGCCTCATCTCCTGCCTCTCCACCTTGTGGCTGAAGAGCTCTAATGACCTTTGCTCCTGAATCTCTTACTTCAGGGGCCAGTCACTTGAAGTTGAGAAAATAAAAGTAGAATCCTGGCTGACTTTTAAGAATGACAAGCAGAAATCAACACTGCTGGCTCTTATCTCTACTGGATTTCAGTTTAATAAAATGAAGACATCTGTCTCACCATCTGAAGATTCTCTAACAATGTGTTTGAATCCCTCCAGATTATTCTACTTTGATGGCTAGACATGTAGTAGTGATTAAGAAGCTGGGCCACAGAGATGGACAGAAGTGTCATCTTGTGGCTATGCCTCCCCTAGTCCCCTGTAGACACTCCATTAAGCCAGGAGCCATCTCAGAACTTGTCTATCCATTTCATTGCTCCAAGGGAGACACAATTGTCCAGAGTTGACCCGCCAGATGGAACCCACCTGCTATCCCCAAGCTGACAAAGTCTATAACCTGGAGTAGACCTTACAGGCTCATAAAGGCAAAAGAGTAAAATGATTTAAGAAATACAGAAAATGGCATTTTTAATGAGGTAAAGTTAGAGAAAATTTACTAACCTTTTGCAGCACATCTGAGAGACAATTTACTAAATGTGCCAGAAAAAGGACATTAGGAAGGGGAATCACAGACAACAGGCCTCTCCCTCCTGCTCTAGCATACTAGATATTCACAGGCCAAATACAAATGATTAGCTATTACTTGCTTGACCTCTGTGTTCTGTCAGTTTGGCTAAATGAACAATAACTGTGTGACAAGTCAGCAATCAATATCTGTGCCTGCATATTGTGTGCTAGGAAGTTTGGTAGAGAGTAAAAATCATTAAGCACAAATATTATTTAATGTTGGACAATGCAAACTGTTGCTTCAACACAAGTCACTGTCATTTTTAGTGAGGTACGTTACTTTCTTTTCCTCTTAAAACTTTACATCTAATTCCAAATAGAAGGCATGAGTGGTGGTTAAGAACATAGACTCTGGCCAGAATGTGCTTCAGTCTGAACCCCAGCTCTGCCCTGTTATGGCTTTGTGACACTGGGTTAGTTACTCAATCTTGAAAAATGAGGAAAATAACACCCACATCATATTATTGTTATTGAAATTAAATGAATTCATATTTGTACACTGCTTAGAACAATGGCTGGCAAATAGTACCATAAGAGTTTATTAAATCAACAAAAAAATCTCTTCTTAGAGTGTATGAACATGGAATAACTGCACATGTTATCAAGCCTCGTTGAACTGCAATAAATCTGATTATTTTTATTACACAACTAAAGAAACTGAGTTAAGACCCAGAAAAATAAAATATCTTGCTTAAGGATCCAACACTTGGCAAAACATACTTAAATCAATTTACATAAAACACTGCCTAGGAGAAATACAAATATCTTTTCTCTTGCTTCCTTAATCAAAAAAAAAA